TTTCTTCAAGGACAGACTACAGAAAGTATTGGAAGCTTTTAACCCCCTACCCCCTCACATTCACCACTCAGAAATAACAAGATGAATATTTTGTTTCACAGTTTTCTGCCAATTGCCTCCTTCCTGATTCTGTGCAGATTATGCCTGCCTCAGGAAAGCCTGTTTCTAGGCTTCCTGTGTTGTTTCACAGTCCTAAGAAGATCAGCATAAAAACAACAACAGTTTAGCCCTATATTTTTGTTTTTATTTCACATTCAGAAATATTTCTGCTATAGATATCCTATTTTAGCTTGCTGGTTTATATGATGATTCTGAAGAGTCCAGCGGAGAACACAACAACAATGAACATAATTGCATTCTATTATTTGATCTATTTAAAATGCAAGTCTTTTCCAGGGCTGTATTTGTTGTTAATCACTCAACAATATCATAAAGAGTTTAAAATTATTATTTGAAGGGGTTTTTTGTCATTATTATTTTTACTATTAATAGAATTCTATGGACAGGGAGAAAAGGTATTTATTTTATACCTGTACCTTCTGCACTTCTAAAAGTTGAATATTTAGAAATATCTGGAAGAGAAAACATGTAATTTACATATAAATACAAATTGCATTTGCTGGTGCTAATTTACACAACAAGAATCAAACAAAAGGCAATCAGACTACAGCACACAACCACTTCAGGTGATGACTGCCTGCTCTGAGGAGTCACCTTTTACCTGTCACAGCAGACAGAAGAGAAGCACTTCTGGCCACATCATGAAAGACAGTGGTTGCAGTGACAAGCTATTATTCTATGCCAGCAGGGTCCTAGGGAACTCATTCCTGACTCTCCCATGTAGCATGTCATCCTATTCTCCTCCAAAAGGCTGTTTCTCAAAGCTGGTTGGCAAATTGTTTATCATGCCAACCAACTTCAACTAGTAAGTAGGTCACAAAATGAAAAGCAAGTCTGTAGTACAATTGATCAATAGCAGCACTAAGACCTTAATTTGATTAGGTAGACGGAAGAGATGACCTGGGAAGAACAAGGTTTTGGGAAGGAGCAACATCCGTGACTAGCAGACAAGTAAGGGGGAGAGTGGTTTCAAAGCCCCAGAAGTTCGACAGAATATTTTACAGAGAAAGCAGAAGAACAGAAATTTTACCTTTGTATGTTTCCTTCCTGACCAAACTCAGTTTGTTATAATCCAAGGTTTCCAAATAAGCAGCACTTATACCTTTGGATAACACTTGACAGCATTTGTCCTACTGCCAGAGCCCTGTCTCCAGCTGTGGCTAATCACAAGTGCTTCAGATGGAGAAAATGGAAGAAAAATCCACAAACTATATCTAACAACGATGAGTATCAGAGAAAAAACAAAGCAAAATGTTTTCTGATTACTGTTGTGGGTCAACAGTTGAAACCCTAAAGCATAAGAGCTTGTTATAAACATTCTAACAACGAGCTGCAAGTGCTATGAAACTATTAAGGATAACAAAAGCTTTTTCTTGTTCACCCTAAGGCCCATGAAAGCAGAAAAAATAGCAGTAGTAAGGGGAAATGCTTAAATACCAGAGAGACCACAATGACCATTTACCCCCAAGACCTCTCTTCCTCTCAAAGAGGAATAAAAACATCCCTCGAAACTGCATTAAAAAAAAAATAAAGTCTTCGTCTAAAACACTGAAATACCCTTGACACGCTTCAGAGGCAACTTATTTCAGAACTTAACTTGTTTCACTTGAACAACCAGAAACTGGATCTAGTTACGACTTTGACAAGGTCTACAAATCCCCCCCAGCACCACATACCTTTTCCATGTGTAAGTAGCTATTCAGAACAAGCAAGTCACCTCAGTATTTTCTTCGGTTAGGAACTGGACATACGCAACTTAAACCTCATATTAGCTTGTTTTTCCAAAACATGGATCATTTTCATAGCTTGTTTTGAGCTGTCTAGTATTTCTGTATCTTCTGAAATATGAACGACAGAACTGGACACAGTATGCTAAAACCACACAAAACCAAGATTGTATCTCTACCTCTATGCTGAAGGTGTCCTTTGCACATTGCCAAAGATTAGCAATGGCCTTTTTTCTACAGCACCATACTGAGAACTTACACCAACAGACAGTAATGCATAATTTTCCAAAGAGCGTTTCTTTATTACTTTTCTTTTACAATCTCTCCTCTATATGTACAATCCATACTTGCCTGAATTCAAATGTAATTTTTTTAGATTGTAACCATTTAAACAAACAATTCGGATCAGTATTACTAACCCTTCCTTTTCATTAATTCAATGCTTTTAATGCCCCAAATGATCATGTTTTTATCAACTTCCAGCTCTACAAATGATTTTATCATCAGCTACATAGTTGATAAAGTTACAGCATTTAATCAAACATCTTCTCTAGAAAGCAAACCTTTCCCTTCACAGTGGGCTTAAGTACAAATGTTCATGTCAGTGAGCTCATTATCATCATCTAATGTATGCTACTGCAATCTCCCAAACTGCAGATCTCAAAAACCTAGTCCAAGAAAAACCACCTACCATGAAATCGCATCAACTGGTACTAATTATACCTTCTATTATGTTGTCTGTGGCAACAAAACTGCAAATTAGCAACTCTTCTTTCACAGGCATGATGGTTAACTTGGATGTTGGGAGTTTTGGGGTTGGTTGGTTGTTTAAGATTTGGAACTAAATTGGCGATTTCCCAATCATTTGGAACATCTTCCACATTCCAAGATCTATGAATAGTAAATAATGGATGAGGGTGCTTTCTTCATTTAGCTTCTTTAAGAAGTTTTGGGTATAAATCATCCAGGATTACTGATTCTGATTTAGCAGATGCTGCCTCTTTTGTCACAAATGATATACATTCCTACAAAGCAGAGGCACCTTCATTTCTGTTTCTGTTCAGAACTGTCATTTTTATTGTGCAATAGGATGTTATTCTTATTCTTAGCAGTGTGAAGAATGCTGTGCTATCTTTACTTCTTTTGGCCATTGGGATTTCAGAGTTTTCTTCATTCTTGTGGCTCCTGAACCCTTCCATTCCTGTTGTTGTTAATACGTGCACATGCGTGCACACACACAAAAAGCAAAAAAGTGATCGTTTATCCTAGTATACTTCCTAAAAGAGTAATACAAAGCTTTGAATAAAAGTGAAACAAAATAAGTATTACATGTTAATATGTGTGTTTTGGGGTAGTAAAATAAAGTCTGTCGACAGCAGCTTTCATTTTCTTTCACTGGATTACCAAATACAAAAAAAAAAAAAAAAAAAAAAAAAAAAGGGGGGGGGGGCGCGGGGATATAAACCCATAAGATAGCCTCTACAATTCTCCCAAACATACTTTTCTGTCTCTCCCAGGAAAGTTACCATAAAACTGTCAATATCAAAAACATCCCACTTCAAACATCCATACACTACACTCAGTGTCATATCCTACAGGAAAGTAAATTATCTAAGAAACATTGAGTGATGAAATGTTTTTGTATTGAATATTGGACAAAAACATCCTCTGTATTAAACATTCCAAGCACCACAGTGCTTGGAAGCAGATGATGTTCTTCTGTTTGTGTTCTAAAACATTCCAAAAAAGCGAAGCATTCTTTAATATATTACTTGCTGTTCAAGCCACAATTTCAAGTTAATGACAAAAAGGCCCTAAATCCTGAACAATGAAAACACTACTCACTAAACCGCTTCATTACTTGTTTTCCTCACTCATCTGGGCCAGCACAAATAAAATTCATAATAAAGTAACAGACGTCTACTCAAGAGATCACAAATGATTTCTACAAAGAAAATTTGAAAGGAATTCAATTCTCAGAACATTCTTGGTAAACAAGAATCCAGTTATCACATCTAAAAATATAAAATATAAGTTTAAAATACTTCCAGGGTAACCGAACAAAACAATAACTAAACACATTGAGCATCATATTGAGCCTTGAATAAGACTTCATTAGTTTGGCTTGGAGACAGGAATTACAAGTAAACTTCTAATTTAATAATGGATATACAATGCAACTTTATTTAGGGCTTATGGTTTCAGACACCAAAATAAAACATTTAAACGCTTTTCTGCTTTAAGAATTACATTAAGAGGTGTACACAGACATGGCAGAAAGCCGACTCGCTGACCTAAATTTAATTCCCACTTTACTCAGAGCTGTATTTAGTAGTTGCAAGATGACACGAGGGCTAAGAGATGAGAGTACTGCCACCTTGTGCCAGTCAAGCTGAAGACTAATATACAAGGCTACTGACTAAAACTAATCCCAGAACACATTCTGCCTTTAAAGTCTGACAGTTATTAAAGATCAGATGCTTGATCATGAATTATTAAAGAGCATAATAGTATCAGTCTTTAAGAACATCTGAAATTCTTTAAATAAAAATAATCAAACTATCTGTACTTAGTCAGCGTGTCTGGCAGCAACTACTCATTGTATTTGCCATTTTAACATCCTGGCTTTTGTCACTCAGAACTGTGATAAATTTCAATCACCGGGGATAAAAGCTTTGGAAATGGATATCTGTTTCAAACTAAGTCTTTCTGGTTTGGTTTTGTTTTTTGTGAAAAAAATTATGACAAACCAAAAAAAAAAAATCGTATATGTATATGCAGTCTGACAGTTCAAAAGTTATACAAAACTTCTTTTGAAACACACTGATAATACACCCATGCTATAAAAAGGGTCATATATTCTTACCACATAAATATTTAAATACCTAGGTCAACATAAACTTTATAAAGTTGAGAAGTATTATGAAAATTCAAGTATACTGATAAGCCAGAAAGAAAAAAAAATTCCTCTCAGTCCATTCTTATCTAAAATACAAGCGCTACATCAAACATTTCATAATAATGTGAAGAATGTGAATTTTTTTCTGTTTCTCTTCTGATATATATATAATTCTGCTCAGTGGATATTTCAGTGACCTCCCCCCACAAGAGTCATTATTACAAGCAATAAAAATGTAAAATAGGAGTACTCACCAACATCATTAGCTAGAGAAGCAGGATCAGAAGCCCCAAGGGTGGCTTCAAACTCCTCCTGAAGACGGTAAGCTCTTTGAAGAAGCGATTCAAGCTTATGAATGAATTCAGCACTAATGATATCCTGCAAGAAGATAGACATTAGAAGATTTTCTATTTGTTTACAGTCTGTAAGACTCCTTTGTAAAGTCTAAGAATATTAAGCCTTCAAAGAGCAAACCGTGCCACATTAATTTCCTACAAACCACACAAGGACACTGTCGGATCAGTACTTCAACATCCAAAATATACATGCTTTTTCAACATATGCATATTTTATTTAGTGTCAAAAAAATAAAATGTAAATTTAAAAATACTTTAAAATTATCTGTGAGGTTTACTCCACTAGAAATAATGAAAGCCACACAGGTATGTGTTTTTTTCAAAATACTTTTAGCATTTAGTTCAAAAGAACAAAGGAATACAAATAAAGTTTAAGCAAATTATTTGTGAATATTCGTAAATCGATCATCTTTCCCAAGACCTTTATCTTCGCTAAGCAGATATCCTCTCACATAGTCATAAAAGAAAGGGATAACTCAAGGGATTTTGTGCAGAGAACTAGTATGCTTGGTAGCTTGATAATACCATCCAGAAGCAAACCCTGATTCAACAGCAATTGCCAAAAAATAAATAAGGTTAATTCCCTCCCCCCACCCTCCTCCAAACAGTAGATTATAGATTGAATATACTCACTTCTACACTTTCTTCTGCAATTGCGTCTCCTGCTCCCAGCTTAATGGAACCACAACTTGCTTCATCTTCAACTTGCCTGTTACGGAAAGTTAGTGCCTGCTCCCATCGACGCAGCGCTTCTTCAAAAAGCTCCATACCTGGGGGAGATCAGGAATATCTGATACACAGAGCTTCAAAATGTATTCGCATTTTAGAGTCACGGTAAACTACACAGCTAATAAGCATGATTATAGCAGAGATGTAAGTTTTTAAAACACCAGCAATTCCCAGTCTAAAAAAAAAATATGTTTTTTTTAATAAGACAAAGAAGTTCACAATACGATCACAATGTTCAATGTATTTTTTCCTATTTGCTTTTAAAGATAATTTTATGGATTACTACTACAAATACAGGAATAAAAAAATATGTATTTTGAAAAACTAACTCGAGATCAAGTAAGATATCATTATTTTATGGAAACATTCTTAGACACATGCCAACAGGACACTGTGAAAGAACACCACAATAATACTGTCTAAGTGTCACTTTGCCAAGAAAACAAAGTTATTTAGATTCATTGTTGGTCCATGCTGAATATTCTTATTATAACTTACCCATTAAATATAAATTTTCGGGTGTGGTCACTGGAATATTGACAAGCTTCATATCATCTTCATCTGCTTTATCCCAGGAATTAGAATTGGCACAAGCACAACTGTGACAAGAGGTGGCACTCTGAACCTTAAAAAAAAAATTAAAAATTGAAGTGTTGTTACACAGAGTATCCTTAAAACTACATTCCTGCCAGAGTACAATACATGCACACTATCTGCCTAGAAACTGTTTTTACTGTGCAGTAGGTACAATGGCCTTCTCAGCATGTCTAGCTTTCTGCACAGCTTGTTCAGGAAAGTTGTTTCAGCTCAGTGAAACCATTAGGTGCATATTCAGTGCAAGCTAACAGACATTGAAGAGCCTTAAAACGCTTTTACTTACCGAGGCCAGGCTTTGAACTGAACCAGAGTATTTACTGAAAAGTCCTCCATTTGCATAGATACAAGACTGAGATCCTTTTTCCTTGGCAGAGCTCAGAGAAAGAGTCAAGTTTTGCCGACTACTGGAACAACTAGAACCTAAGAGATACACTGGTTTTAAAGCTGCTGCAAACTCAAAATATTGTAACTACAAAGTATTGTAGCAAGATCTACCAAGAATTGTGTTTACTCTTTTCAAGAAAATCCAGTTTAGAAGCAAACAACAATTATTCTTTTATTTACAGTTCTACATGAGAAACTACAAATTAGAATAGTCAGCATCTATAATAACAATCATACACTTGAGCATAATTATTTTTCCATCCTATAAAAAATTAAATCCACTTCTCAGTGTTGAGATGTCCACAAGAATGGCAAACCCCATTGTTAATACACTATTGATAAAAAAAAGTTTTAATCCAAATCAATGATTAAATATCACCTTTGAGAACAAGACCAGCCTATAAGTCAATGTAATTTTGTTATTAATTTGCACAATTTCTATTTTAACAATTCAATACTCAGCATTAATGGGAAATAGTTTGTTTAACTACTTCACACTGTTACACACACCCATCCCCTCATGCCCTTCTTCTTCCCCTCCAAGAAAAAAAAGCAACCCTGGGGGTTCCTTCATGTACCTTTTTCTGATGCAGCTGCTTTGGTACACTCTAACACTAGATGACTCGGTTCCCATGGTGGCACTTTCTTGTTTTTCTTTCCACGCCTTCTTTTAAAGTGATGGGCCAGAAAAATAACAGATATTGCACTCACTGCTGTTACCGTGAAAAGCTTCTTTAACCCAGGAGAAAGCTTTATCTGAAAATAAGAGAGTGAGACTTCATTGGAAATATATGCTCCTTAACTCCCACCTTTCCTCCCACCCTCCTTTTGGTGCATCCAACCTATTCTATAGCTTGCCTGAGGGAGATAAGAGATGTTCTCTCAGATAGCCTGAGAAACAACCAACTCTGAGTAAGGACATAGACTAACTCCTTATCAAAATGTGTGATGGCCAGTAGGCGAGAGAATTTACAAAGGGGCTGGTGCGACGAAGTGAGAGGCTGCACTGACACACATTGCAGCACCAAGAACTATAAGGTATATTGCAAATCCATGAACTATGGGGATCTAGGTAAATGACTTCCAGACAAACTTCCTTTTTATTATTTCTTTTTAATGCCAGGACAATTCAGGGCTTCAATTAATTCTCTAACAGCAAAAAAATACTGAGAAGAAACTCACTCGTCACAACTAGACTATTTTCTTGCACTGTGAAAGACCGGAGGATCCAAAAGCTAACATTAGCATGGCATTTCAATTTGGGAAGAACACGTATTTAAATGTATCCTTCTAAATAAACCATCTTTTTTTTTTTTTTTAATTGTTATGTTTCATTTTGGATATAGATCAGTCATAGGTTTACAGGTGTTTAAATGAGCAAACAAGAATCACATATACAAGCAACTGAAATTAAAAGCCATTAACAAAGTTTATAAAATTCAAAGTGACAAGATACACAAAGAAGAAAAGAGACATTTAACTGGAAATTAGAGTCCACATTCACAAAGATCTTAAGGAAATCTATGCTGCTCGAGAAAGACTGCTGTGAGAAAACCAGACCTGCAGTCCTTGGGGCTAATATGGTGTTTCTGCAAGACGTTTCCTCATAGGAGAGGGAGCTGGCCAGACAGGGTACCACTGCACCCTGGCAGTCCCTGGTTGCTCTGCAATTGCTTAATACTATCAGAGTTGCGTAATTTAAAGAAGCATTGAAAGCTTTGCTCTGCGTTGAGGTTGCAGTCAACAAGTCAAACACCTTTGACTTGAGAACCCTGTCCTTAGTGGTACTGTATCTTGACTGAGGCTGAAAACCTACCACTGTACTCCGTGAGGAAAAGGAAATCCCTGAAACACAGCAAAAACACATACTTACAAAACACTATTGTATTTCACAGAAAAGAGTTAATAACCAAATATCTGAGATTAAAACCTCAAAGCTCACAGAATTAAATGCTAGAACTAAAGTTTAGAAGAACTGCAAGTGGATTTTTTTAAAATTTGTCTGTGCCTACAAACATCGTCATAAATAAATTAACAGTGAAATTAAAACCTCTAAGGAGAGGAAAGTTAACAGTTGCACACAATGGAGTTGCACATGGTATTTAAAAAGGATATGAATACACTGCAATGTAAAAAAGAAATCAGTGATCTTACAGTGAGAATTTTAAAGTATTAAAGGATTTTAAAGTATTAAAGTAGATACAGGAAAACTGTGAAAATAATCAGATGTGGCTAAGACAGCATATCTCGTTCTGGTTTTATATGCAGTAAAACTCTGAAAATTATTTACATGCAAATATGAAAACTGACACAGCTTTTGCTTACAAGCATTTAATTCAATAAAAATAAAACACAGTCACATTAAAGACATGAGTTTTGAAAGCAGACCTTTATTAGGACCTGCTAATACCTATTAAAAAAATTACTGGCATTCCCAATTATAAACAAATTTTTTTCTTTTAGTGATCCTTGTCAACAATTCAGCATACACAGAATGGAAAAAATCTACTGGACCATATTTTGTACAGCCAACTAGAAACTCCTTTTTTTTTCTCCTGTGTATTATAGCATCAGAATGCAGTTCACTCTTCAAGAAATTTATTCTCTGAGGGATATGACTGAAGCCTTAATATCTTCAAGAAATTCTGACTTATTTCACTCTATCATTTACCACATATGTAGTTACAGGCAACTAACACCTCTCTTCTCAGAATCCCTACAACACAACTACAGCTCCTCCTCCCTGTCTTTGACATGAAGGTGCTCTAGGGACAAATCTTATGATTCTCTGCAGACAAGGAGGATCAGCTCCACTACACTTCCAGCTTTTGTCAACCTGAAAACTAAGATCATAATATACTCTTTGCCCAGATTTGAGTGACCGCTATCCATGCTGCTAGCGAAAAATAGCCTATAACATCAATGAAAGAAAATAAAAATTAATCACTCCAGGACCATCTGTAAAAAGAAATACTGTGATTAACAGAGTTTCAAGATTTTCTTTCAAGATCTTTCTGTAACTAAAACAAATGAATAAAACCAGCAAAAGGAACTCAATGATTTTAAAAACCAGCCTGTTTTTAAAGAATCACTGCTTTGTTTTAGTCATGTGCCACTTAATCAAACAGAAGTGATGCGAAAACTAGAAAAAGGATTTTTGATTTATGTTAATGAATTACCATTCAGATCAATCTGATGAATAGTACTGGCAATCTAGAAAGTATTTCAGACCACACTTGATACTATTATTCAAAATTTAATGACAGTTATGTTTAGTTTTTAAATACCTAAAAAATTCTAAAAAACCCACCCAACTTGAGGATTTTGATATTTAGTATGATGAGAATCATTGTGCTGTTGCAATATGAAGACATGTAGACATTGCAGAAAAAGCAATCTCTCAGTCTTTTCAGTCAGATGTATGATGATGCACTAAGTGTTTATTAGCAGAAAAAGACAAAAACACCCGCTTATTTTAGCTCAAAGCACTAAATAATAATAAAAATTAAGGTATTCTGTATATATTTCATTTCTATTAAGCTCAGAAGAGAGTACAACATTGCAATTAAAGTTCTAAACATATTACAAAAGTGACAATATTTAGATAATGTATGTGTTACCTGGTTAAGAGAATAATACCAAGAAAGGGGAAGGTGAAATACCCGTAAAGCTACCGTCTTCAGAGAAAATCGTGCCTCAGTCACACCTTCTTCTGACATGGCTCCTTCTCTCCCATAACCTCATTAAGTGGAACTATCTTGAAAAAGTCACAGATGGTCTCCGGAATACTCTGTCAAATGAAGCATAGGTACTAAATTATGCAATAGAAGCCCAGGACAGCTTTCTTCTACAAGCTCAAATGCCCTACAGAACAGGTACGTGACTTGATTGATTAATGTTTCTCAGTAGAAATAAGACTTGTGCTTAATGAGAAGACAGCAAATTTGCCAGCTCAGCTTAGGCCCCATTCCTTCCAACTGCTCTGTGCAGAGACCTGTATGTGCACAACCAGGATCTACAGAGAGCTCAGTCTGCTTTTATTAGCTGGCACTTCACTTATTATATCCTCTAAATCACACGTGCCAACAGCACCGTTTCCAAGATCACTACTGTTGGAAGAACATATTCACCAACAAAAAGAGTTTACAAGATTTGAGAGCAGCCAGAAAAAGTTACTCATCCACAGCTTCAATTTTGTTGCGGACACACCGTGAGGGAATCAATGCTACAGCCCCCCCTTACTCCCTGATGCGAACACAAGGCCCGAGCCCCCGACGCGCCACATCCACCACCGCAACCTCGGCGGCACAGGGACAGAGGTGCAAGAAAAGGGCGGGCCCACACGCCGCGGGAATGCGGTCAGCTTTAACCACCGGCTCCTTTCCCTTCGTGACGCCTCCGGCCACAGGCGTTTCCTCAGGGCAGGAATCATTCCCCGCCGCGGAACAGCGAGCGGCGCGCGGCCGGCCTCAGAAGGGCAACGAATCTCTGTAGCCG